CCTCCTTTAGGCAAGAGATAGAGCAAATGGAAGCCAAATACACTCAACTGCTAGAGAAGTCAGAAGAAAAACACAGCGCAGATCTAAAGGAGATAGGTAAATCAGTAGACAAAACTCTAGAGACCATCTCTCTATTGAGTGATACTGTGAGCAACACTATGGAAATTTATGCCTCTGACAGTCAACTTCAATTCAAAGAGTTCAACAAAGTCAAAGAGCAAATAGCAAGTGTCACAGTTGGTCTACAAAAACAGATGTCCCTTCTCCAAATGGACATCAGATCAGCCCTAGCAGTAGCTTCCGCAAACCAGGTAGTAATCAAAGACTACTTGAAAGTGATCATTGACAATCAAAAGGAAGCATACAAGCTGTTCAGACTTATTGGTGCACATACTGGGAACCGCAAGATGGAAGTGATTCTCCAACAACACAACCCATCTCTAATACCACAGCTCCCTATTGCAGTCAACGAAGGAGAAGCATCTTATATCCCTTCTCATCTGAACATGACAAATTTGATCCTTGAAGCACAACAATGAAATCCGGAAAACTCAGCACAGCACCTATCCAACTCAGGACTGGATGGAACAGAATTTATAGGTGCAGTCGTTGACCACTTCTCAGATGCTGCTCAATCAGAGGAAAGGCGTGCAAATTTAAAGCGCATCAAAGAACTGTGTGGGAATATGCAAGGCATCAGTGAGGTTGCCGGATCTTCAAAACGCAAAAGGAACTGAAGGTTCTTTTCATCAAACCAGGGGGAAAGTATGTGAAAACACCAATTTGTTTTGATGAAAACACCTTCCTGTTTAAACATTGCAACACTGCTTCAACAATTTTTAATTGCGCTTATTATGCTTGATTATGTTTATCTCAAGTATGATTATGTCTTAATTAATTTTTCTGAAGCGCATACATTCAGGGGGAATGTAATTCAGGGGGAACTTAACTAGTTTTTTTGTCTTAATTAATTTTTCTGAAGCGCATACATTCAGGGGGAATGTAATTCAGGGGGAACTTAACTAGTTTTGGCTAACAATTGTTTTTGGCAATGAATTATTGATGAGCTCTAAGCAATGGAAGTCGGATATCTCAGTTTTGGTACTAAAATTGGAAATCTCCGATTCAGGTACTTTACAAAATCAGTCTTCTTAAACTAAGCTTTAATCTTTAATTCATTTTCAACTAGCTCTAAAAGTACTGGCCCTTAGGATTTTTATAATGTACAGGACTTTGGAAAAATAGTACCACTTTTCTTTTAAAAATAAAAATTCATATTTGTTTTGGTACTACCTCGTCCTATTTTAGAAATTAGAACTATAGGGAATGAAAAATGATAGTTTTATTTTGAGCCTTGAGAACCCAATAGAAATAATTTCCCTTTAGTACATAGCTTTCTTTTCTTTTTGGGCCACTCTTTTGGGCTTAGCCAAACTAAAACAGTTACGTTTCTCAAACCAAATGAAACTGATTTTCTAATTGGAACAGTTTCAATCCATTCGTAACTGGTAAAAGATTCCTTTTACTTTTCAACTTCTTGGAAGTTGAAACTCCTTTACTCTCACCGTTCCAACTACCCACTTAATGGAACCCGTGAACCTCCTCCTCCCCTATTTAAATCAAGATATCCCAATCCATTTCCATCACAAACAACTCTCTAAATATGAAAGTCTTCAAGTTCACTGTCTGAGAAAAACACCAAGAAAATATCCTCAATGGAGAAATTTCTCTTTCTCACCCTCATAGACGGCAATGGAGAAAAGCCTAGTGAGAAAGAAAGTAATTCAAAGTTTATGGTGCAATTCTCGGCAGTAGAGAAAGTTTATGGTGTAATTCTCGTATTTTTCAGGATTATACCATACACTTTCTCTGGAACAACACTCTCTCTATTTTTTCTTTTTATTTTTACCTTGATCTCTTTCCCCT